TCTCCTGCTCCTGCTCCTACTCCTGCTCCTGCTCCTGCTCCTGCTCCTGCTCCTACTCCTCCTGCTCCTACTCCTACTCCTGCTCCTACTCCTGCTCCTGCTCCTGCTCCTACTCCTACTCCTGCTCCTACTCCTGCTCCTGCTCCTGCTCCTGCTCCTACTCCTACTCCTGCTCCTACTCCTACTCCTACTCCTGCTCCTGCTCCTGCTCCTGCTCCTGCTCCGTCTTCTTCATCCTCATCCTTTTTCTTCTCCCCCCTCTCCTTCTCTCTTTATCCGCCTTTTCGCCTCTTTCTTTCCCCTGTACTCTTTGTCTGTCTGCTATCCACCCCTTTTCCACATACTGTCTCCTCCTCCTTCTCTCCTCTCCTCCTCCTCCCTCTTCTCATCTTCTGCGCCAGAACTCGCCGAAAGACGAGATCTTCAACGACGTTCAGCTTCACAACTCCATTATGAAGTCATTGCAGGTCTGTTCCTCCCTCAAACCCCACACTACACCACACCACACCCTAACAATCTACACAATGATACTTTCTCCTGCCTCCTGCCTCCTGCCTCCTGCCTCCTGCCTCCTCCGGTCTCCTACTTCTCCGCCTCTTGCCTCCTCCTCCTCGTCATCTTTACTCTCGTCTTGCTCTTGCGTGCGCTTGTTCTTGTCCCCTTGCTCTTCACTTATCTCTTGATGTTTGTAGGAGCTCATGCGGCAACAAGAAGCGCTCAACAATGAAGTTCTGCTCCTCCGCTCCAAGGCAAGCACCTTGTCCTCCTCCCTCTCTTCTCTCCCTCCCCCCCTCCCTCTCTTCTCTTCCTCCTCTCCCTCGTCTCCCACCCTTGTCCCTCCCTCCACCTCTCCCCCCGCTGACGGTGCTGCAGTACGAAGACAAACAGAAGACGACTTATCATACTGTCGAGCACAAGCGGGTGAGAAGAAGGGGAGGGAGGGAGGGAGGGAGGGAGGGAGGGGAGGCAGAGGAGGTGGTAGTAGTAGAGGAGGATAGAGGAGTGTTGACGGGAATGAGCAGGAGGAGCATATGGCAAGCGTGCAGCACGATGCGACTGAGTATGCGCGACAACTGAATGCAGAGATCAAGGTGAGGAGAAGAAGGGAGGAGAGGAGGGAGAGGGGGGAGGGGGAGGGGGAGGAAGGTGGGAGAGGGGGGGGATCGGGAGGAGGTTTAATGGCTAACGGGGGTGGCAGGGACTGGAGAGGATGGGAATGGGAGAAGTAGTCGAATGCAGCGCAGCAGCGAGCTTTCCTTTCAGGCAAGCCCTCTTGTGCACATCCTTCTCCTTTCC